TATTAAACATGTCCAGTAAAAAAGTGTGTAAAAAATCAAATTTTGTCATAAATTTAGGCCAAAAGGTATTCTGCTATATGTCTTTGCTAAAAAAAAAAATCCCAACATGTGTAAATTAATTGTTTTTTGTGAAAGTTATAAAGTTATAGAGTTAACAAATGGCGATATATATACTGGATTTTTTTTTTTTTACTAGTAATGGCACGATCAGCAACTTATAGCATGACTGCGGCAGGCATTCTGACACTGGGGAGAACTGACTTGGTGTCACTGACATCCCCAGTGACACCAATACAGTGGTCAGTGCTAATAAAAAGCAGTGACACTGTACAATGGCAGGCAGGGGTTAACATGTGCGGCGATCAAAGGGTTAACTGTGTGTGCTGTTTTACTGTGTGCTTATGTATGTGCTTTACACTGTTAGCACACAGTGCTTTACACTGTAAGCACACTGCTTTGTATGGCTCTGCTATGCAGAGCCATACAAAGCAGTGTGCAAGAGCTGACAGGGGAGAGATCTGTGTTGTTTATACAAAGGTCTCTCCCCCGTTGGTAATACTCAGCAATCGCCGGGTGCTGGCAGTGAATCATCGGCCAGGACCCGGTGATTGACAGCTGAGGCTACAGACTACCCGGAACTGCAGCCGTGCCACCCTGTAGCAGTATTTCTGTTATAGGGCAGTATGGAAGCGGTAAAAAAAAACCAAGAAGCTGGGTCAAAAATTCTAGGCCAAATAGCAACTGCATCCACGCAGATGCAGCTGCTATTCAGGTATTCTGTCAAAATACAATAACAGGCACTGCAAATTTGTCTATCAACGACTATGTTTTTTTTTCCTGTTTGTGTTTTTACATTTCTGAAAGATTCAGATTTGTTGCTGTGAGTGAGTTCACATCATTGAGATTTTCACAGTATTGATCATATTTTGAAGAGTGTCATTTACAGATTTGTCCATATTTAGTTCAGTGATTTACATATTAGTATCAATCTTCTGCTGCTGAATTTTTTTATCCATACAACCTCCCTTAGAAGAGAATGCCCTCTGGATCTGTACAAGGCATGTACCACTCTTTATATTTTCATTAACTATTATAGGCTGAAGCAAAGTTGATTATTTATAGTGCTCAATATTCTTGACATGGTTAAACTGTAACCACTCTCCTGGGTCTTACTGAACAGTGTAACAAAGTGTAATCATTTTTTACCACGCAATCCATTAATGCATAAAATGTGACTTTTCTGTTTAATTACTGCATAGCTGTTAATGGTCCTCTTTCTGTGCACTCTGCTGTCCCCTTGATGATTGCCTCATAGGCAGGGTGCTGGCCCACATACACAATTGGAAGTTGTAAAATTCCACGGTTACATTCCCAAAGGATTTCTGAATGGAGGGAGAAGTCTGTCATTGTTATCACCTCCTGAAAACCTGAGTGGGGGTAACATTTATAATGGCCACATTAAATTTAAGTGCAAGCATTTAAAGCCTTGTATAGCTCACATTAACATGTGTTGGTAAACTGACACAGTTTCTGTCACCTCCATTTGTAAAACACAGCCCTGCTCTTGTAGTTACAGGTGTAAATGGAGTAAAACCTGCTTTTCTCTGCTGGTGAGCTGTGTGTATGCTGAAAAACAACTCCTTTTACATTTGGAAGATCACACATAAAATTTACAAGCCAGTAATTCAAGTTCATCTTCTAGTGATTAAATATCTGACATCAGAAACGTCAGTCTCCTGGGCTGGATCATATCCAAAAAAACATTGCTGTTATTTCTGATAAATCTAGAGGCAGGTACAGACTTATCCAATAAAGCCGTACAAAGTGCAGTGATCATACAGATTGTCAGATAAACAAAAGATACATTATGACTGGTTGCTATGGATTAACAAGCTTTGCACGTGGTCATTTTAATGGCCATACACGTGTGGATTTCTGTTTAAAAAAATGTCATTTTCAGAATAAGGCCTGGTCATTTGTAGCTAAATGTTCATTTAATACAATGTACTTTTTTGTTGGTATTGGGTCCCAGCTCATAAAGCCCAGGCGAACCCTGCCTATAGTGATTTCTGCTTTCAGGGTTGGAGCCATCGTGGAGATGTGTTACATATATGGTGGTCATGTCCAAGACTGATTCATTTTTGGTCTCGTGTCTTTGGCCTTCTTTACACCTTGTTCCATCTCTCCATACACCAAAAGGCTCGCTGTGCTTTGCTTCATTGTCCCATACCGGGCCTGTTGGCTCATCAGCAGAAGTTGGCTTCCTATCTGTTTCTGTCGGCCACTAGAACAATTGCTCAGGTCTGGAAAAGCCCGTCTGTCCCTCTTCAGGGGGTGCGGGACCATATGTCTACTCTGATGCTCAATAAACAGATGTCGAGTATCCGTAATGACTCCCAACAAAAACTTTTGAAAATATGGGAGCCGTGGATGACATATGCATCCCCCCCATGATGCTGCATGGTATTGGCATTCCCAGATCCCTGCTTCTGGTCTTGTTTTCTTCTTCCTTCTCCTTACATGTGGTGATAGATAATTGCCTTTGGCTGGAAATTTGTGTTGGTGTTATATCACTGTTTCTGTATTTTATGTGCTATTGATAGCTCCTATGTGGGTGCGCCTCTTGCATTGTTGGAGTTACAGTACTGATTTCTTTATTTTTTATGTACCTTTGATAGCCCCTGCGTGGGCATGCCCTTTTTTCTCTAGTCCTTGTCAAATTGTTTACAAAAGTTAATAAAAACCATTGAAATACAAAAAATGTTCATTTTCTGTAAGTTAATGGGGTCAAATGAATAAATATTTTAAAACACAGTGATGAGAAAATTTGAAGGAGCAGAATGGAAATCTTTTCTCAAATGAATGAAATTCTAACTATGAATATGGTTTTTACTTGAGAAGAGTTATATATGTTGTAATGTGAACAAAAGAAACCCATTTAATACATCTGCGATTCCACTAAAGTAGCAGGTATGTGCGAAAATTAAAGGATAAGTTCACCTTTCAAGAAAAAATAATACATGCAAATATTTTTGCAGGAAAAAATGTGCATGTATTCTTTTTTCCTGCAGGAGCCAGGAAAGCATTGCAACCCTGATCAGTGGATTAGGGGTTCAATGGTCAGGCTTCTGCAGACAGGCCTTGCAGCTTTCTGCCCATACCTCCATACAAGCTGTCTGTTGAAAGCTGCAGAACTTGTCCATGAAGTACAAGCCATCAGCTGCAGTGGATGTAGCTCAGGAAACTGTGAATGAATGACGTGGCCATGTGGGTAGAGCTGTCACACCAAGCGGAGGGGAGGGGGAACTGGTGGCAGGAACTGGAACATTTTACATATTCCACCCTAAATATGAGCCTTAGCCTTTAAGGGATTTCAAAAGAAATTATTTGATTCAATGACAGAAAAATAGATCAATTCAAAGATCAAATGTTCTCACAAACAATTTATCAAAACCTCTGCAAGAAGATTCAAATTAAATTCTACTGGAATATGACCAGCTTTAGTCCTACCATACTTCTAAAAGCCCATGTAGAAAAATAAAAGACACTTTTAACTCATTTTGATGATACAGCATTGAGGAATATTTTCTTGTAGAATACTTCTTGCTCCAGGTCTTTGTTTATTTAGCTCTCACTCAGTATCTGCTTTGCTCCTGAAACTTGTCTATCAGTACAGCTTCTATCAAGCTGGAGCCTTCTTCCCATCAGGCTGATTATTTTGAGCATTTTAGCATACCTACAGTATTTCTGTAATGAGAGCAGCACCAAAGGAACTAAATGCTTAGATGGGTCTGGGTCTTGTAACGAATGGTCAATAGTGAAGTGAAAGTCCTCTCTCTATTACTATGATGGTGCCCATCATCATAGTATGTCCCCACCCCTATTTCAGTTGAAGGCTTGCTAATTTTCAAAGTTGGGGGCAACAGTATTGAGTGGCCTGTAGTAATGACATTTCAACTCCATACTATTGACAATAAAGATTATGGGAATCTGCAACTGAAGTAGACATCATAGTCCCGCAACCTTACCCTCCTATAAGATATGTATGCGATAACAGCAGAACACAAGCTGAATGTTTGTGCTGATAATTAGAGATTAGAGCAGGAGTAGGCAACCTTTGATCTCTGTAATGAAACTACAAATCCCATCATGCCTTAGCTTCTGGGAATCATGTCAGTCTTGCAGTGCCTCATGGGATTTGTAGTTTCACCACAGCCGGAGTGTTGAGCTTGCCAACCCCTGGATTAGAGAAATGATACAAAAGAATCCTGTAGAAGAAACCATGATGGTTTAGCAACTATATTCTACTGGCTGTAGGAATCTCAGAAACATCATTGTAATAATGTTTATATAAAAAAACTGAACTTATTAAAAATTTCTGTTTCGTAATACACTGATATGTTGTATGTCAGAAATGATAGAGACTGATTCTACTTCTCAATATTGGGTCTGATTCACAAAAACCAGAGTTACTTGGTAAATTAGAAAATTGATTTTTTTTTTTTTATCAGCCATTCTCTGCCACAGTTCCCTTTCCATACAGTATATCCATATCCTAGGTTTAAAGCAGAGCTCCACCCAAAAGGGGAAGCTCAGCTTGTTTACAACCTCCCCCCCTCCAATGCCACATTTTCCACTTTTTTGGGGGAGAGTGAGTACCTGACTTGTCATTTTTTTGGGATCCTGGAACTCCTCTTTATTAGATATTGTAGCACAGACCCCCTGTAAGATGCTTTTTTAAAGTGTTACTAAACCCAGGACCCTGCATTCACTGTATCTGGTCTCCCACAGTACACAGAACATTGAAATGCAAGTATTTTGGTAAATATAAACTACTAAATACCTTTTCTCATCAGCAGTATATAGCAGTCTTGTGAATTCTATCAGTGTACAGCAGAACACTGGTTAAAGCTTGTAAGAGGAGCTTTCATTTTGCTCTAGGAGGATGCAGAACCCCTGACTTCTGTCTGGACAGTGCTGATTGGCCCTGGCTGATCACATGCACTCTCCCAAGAAATAAAAACCTCTCTAGGATTACACACCAAACTGAGCATGTGCAGAGTGTCTTCACACGATATGTCTTATCAGGAGATAAGAGGGGGACACTGGAAGAAGGGGAGGATCAGAGAAGTCAGGATCAAATAGCATTTTTACACAATGCAGGGGACTAACCCCTTAGGTTCCATAGTGAGTATACCAAGCATGCTTTACTGCATATACAGACTGATTTTAGTGTTGTGGGTTTAGTAACACTTTAAGTGACTTTGTATATTGAATCCCATTGATATCCCATATTTTCATTAAGTTATAGAACAAGATGTATACATCCATCAGTCATTGCAGACAGTGAAAGGACACTGATGATCCAAATGCTTTCAAGTGGGAGAAGTATCTTTGCATAAAGTGTACACCATCAACCATAAGGCAAATCTAAGTTAGAAATCCTGTCATTTTTTACAATTTATGAATGACTAGTTTGCTAGAACTGCATGGTGATATAGGCTTAATAAAATGACAGGGTACAACATGATAAATTGTCCTTGCCACTATCACTGAAAATCTTCACACATTGGAACTGCACATAGACCTGGTATATGATATACTGAAATTCTGCATGATTTCTAAACTTAAATATTTATTCGAGGACACATTACTACTTGATCATTACACATAAATCTTAGCTTGCCACATTATGTAGAATTTATTTATGTGACCGTAATCCATCTCAATTCTGACAAATTCCTCCTCAGTTTATACAGTATAAACAATAATTTGATAAAATTAGAAATACAAACAGTAAAAGTACAGTATAGATATTATATATAGTAAAAGCACTTAAAGGACATTGGTATTGTCCATGCCTAAATATGTGTTGAAGAGAAAGCTTAAGGGACTTTTAAGGTACTAAAGAAAAATCATTAAGTACTTCAGTTCAGTCTAATAAAAAATAGTAACCTTTATATGAACAGGCCAAAATTATGCTTAATCAAGCCCATTACAACAAGGATCACGCATCATTCTGTGTTTTATTATATTTTATTATATTGTTTTATTTAACACCTTAGGAAGCACACACCCATACTCAAGTTCCCAATCTTGCTTGTCTATTAGTCTGAATAATGGGAACAACATCTTCTAAAAGAACATTTATAGTACAAAGGCTACAAAGAGAAATGAGCAATCGACCCAAACGTTTTGCTGAATATTTCCAACTTCTTGAGGAGTTAATGGTGGTTAAACATTCTAAAGAATATAATACATCCTTTCTGAAGAAGTGCTTTTGCATGAAATGCGTTAAAGGAGCCATTACACCGTGACGTCTCACCACCGGCACCTAGCATAGGTCTGGCGGCCATCATTTAATTGTGAATGGTCAGTATACCATTTCCTTGTTCACCATTTTGTTTTTTCTTCATACCACATGGATTATTTAATAAATCAATTTAAAAACTACTACACTATGGGCCATTTATTGGTTGGCTCCTTGGCGAGCTAACATTCATTTATAGAGCTCACCCTAGAAGATATAGGAGCAGAGTCTTATGTGGCACCATTCCAGAGGAGGGGCTGTTCCATACTAGCTGACAAGCATCCACCCATCCATTAAGGAGGCCTCTGTCTGGATTCTATTCGCACACACCAAGGGAGACGTCTCTGTAGCTGCATACCACGCAGAGGGAGGAGAGTTTGTTAAAATGGCCCAAATTATCCATCCCATCCAGAGCGTGGGACCTCTGGTCATACTAATTACATGCGTATTTAAAGATACGCATCTGGTGAGTGCGTATTTTTACTATCATTTATTGGCACGCCACTGAAGTTTGAAGTCACCATCAACTCCTGTATCAAGCACCTTACCACGAACTGTCACTATTTTATAATTTTATATTGTTATATTTTATCCATTTGAAATAACTTTTTAAGCACTGCACTTTTATGAATTTTAGCTTTGTGAGGTTTTTACTTGGTTACCTTTATGTGCATTAGCTGCTAAAACTATTAAGCGCTCACTGACCAGGGGCGGACTGACAACTCATGGGGCCCCCAGGCAATAGGGGATCATGGGGCCCCTGTTTCCTTGCCCAAACTCAAAAAAGCCTATGAAAAAGGTACCAGGGACATCTCATGGGGCCCCGTACTGACCCCGGGCCCTCGGGCAGTGCCCGAGTTTCCAAATGGTTAGTCCGCCCCTGTCACTGACTATATATTTTATTGCATAATACAAAAAGAGACTATCAATAATTACAAATACCAGTAGTATCTACAAAATACAAACAACAAAAATACAAATGTAGCATTTTATCATGTATACTTACAGACATGCAGTACCGGGAATATGAGCATTTTGGCACTGTTTTTAAGTTTTTGTTTTTATTATTATTATTATTTATTATACAGGATTTATATAGCGCCAACAGTTTGCTCAGTGCTTTACAAAATAACTATGAGTCTTGTTGTATTGGGCTCAAGTATATACAATTTTATAACTGTTGAAATAAAAATGAGTAATTTTTATTATAGCTTCGGTACCTTATAACTTTGCTTTGGTACCCTGAAAGTCCCTTAATCTTTCTTTCCTAGATATTATTTTTACTTGGGATGTTGGTACCATTATACATACTGAACAATCCTAGGTCCATATACATTCTTTTTGGTAATATGTCCTAAGTATGCTTGAGTATACGTATACCACACGTGTCAAAAGCAATACAAAGCCCACATTTCAATTATAATGTGGCCTCAGTAATATTACAAATTAATCATCAGGATTGAAGCAATTAAGATGTAACTGTAAAATGTATTATTATTGCTGAACACAACTAATTGGGATATATAAGATTAATTAATTAATTAATGGAATAACATTTTACATTTACTGAACTTTGCCCACTAAATGTATAAGCATTTCACACATTCTTTCTACACATGCCACACTCCCCTTTCAAGACCTTCAGTGTGATCTGTGTGATTTAAATGTTTTCAGTTTGTTTTTCAGAGAAGGTTTGTGTGGATTTATCTGTTTTTAATTGTGATACACTGTAAAGGCAGCAGTTAGTCCCCACTGAGATCAAAGCACCAGGAGATCAGATAAAGGACCAGAACGTCCAGTTGTTCTTAGGCCATATCCATCCACTTACACAAAGATACAACATTAGCCAGCCAGACAGGCAGCCACCTCATCCTTGGTTCACTCCCTCCTCTTCCTCTGTCCCTCCTGAAACTATCACCCCATTCACACTTTCATTTGGATTTCAAAAGCTGGCCTCTTCTCAGTGTTGTGATGTTAATGGCACCACCCAATGTCCTGCTGTCATTAAAGGCTAGGGAAAACATTTTGAGAAAAGAGCCCTCTTGCTGGCTGTTATAAGGTGAGAGCCATCAGTGAATTAGACAACCTTTGGCCTAAGGCAAAGGGTTAGGTTTATGGGCCTGCCACAAACAAACAGGAAGTGACACCAATACATCTATTGTGTTTCCTATCAATAGTGACCCACCTGCCTTGTTTGTTGTCTGTCTCTTTTTTGCTCTCATGCCTCTGTTATATATATTTAATGCTATTGTGCCAATGAAGCAATGTGGGTACTTACAAAATCTGTTTTAAAACATTTCTATTGCGTTCTATTGAGTTCTACTGTATACTTGCAAGATGATACATGAAGATAGCAAGTGTTCATGGCAATAGGAATCTGTTGGGCAATGACTGTATTATCATCTAACTCGATATTTACTGTTTAGTGTTAAGGAAAAAATTGGCATCCATTTATTAATGTAAAATTAGAGGCCATTTGTTATGCAACGTATCCCCACTGTGGCTAAAACGTCTTTTCGTTGTAGACAGAGGATGAAATGTTCAACTGTATCATGATTAGACAATGCTCTTTACAATGTTCCATGTCATAGGTTCTCCATTATACACCTAAACTTTTTTGCTGGGGTCAGTTTTTGTTCATCTTTAATGGCACATTTTATGAAACCCATATTTTAGTAAGTAAACATAGCAATCTCAAAGAGTTATAGAAGAACTATAGGAAAACGTTTTTTTTCTTTCATTTTGGAAAGTGTAAGAAGGGTGATAATCCCTGCCAGGTTTTTTTTATTTGGGGGGGGTTGTTTTTTGTTTGTTATGTGTCCCATTGAGGATATTCCCTTTCACTTCCTGTGCCATGGCAAAACAGGAAGTGAAAGTAAATCCCTTCAAAGTGAGGGAATCCCTTGTTATTACCTAGGTCACCATAAAAAACTGGCCCAGTAGGAAGATATCCCCTCTATTACTATTATGGAGACAACCCAAAATCTGATATTTTCTTTTCCATTCTCTATCAATTATAACAGTAAACAAATAGATAAATAGAGAGGGTGAACCTCCCTAATAGGGGCACAGACAAAGATAAAACATGACAGTTTTGTTCTAAAAGATTTGCCTTTAGTTTTACTTTATCTATAGCATTAAAATTGATTTGATTTTTTTAGTTTAGTGCAGTTATAAAATGGAAGTGTTCCTGTGGTCATTTTAAACATGGTAAGGAGCTGCTGTTAAAAAAAATATGGCTCACACAAATTTCCCACACGGGGATGTCTGAGATTTATAGCCAACATAAAAATTTCCTGTATTTACCTAGCATCAGCATGATACACCAGACTTTACATAGGACAAACAACCAGTCACATTAGCCTCCAAAATCAAAATACAATTATTGTTATCTTCTCCAGAGTCTCTCCCATCCTCTAGAACTCCCTACCACAGCATGTCCGGTCAGCCCCCACCCTGTCTGCCTTTAGGCAATCTTTGAAAACTCACTTCTTCAGGGAAGCCTACCCCACCTCCACCTAAGAACTGTACTTGAATCACCTCCGCCAGATCATCCCCCCCACGCTATCACCTTTTTGTATCACCTCCCCCTTCCTTTAGATTGTAAGCTCCAGGAGCAGGACCCTCCTATTCCTTCTGTACTGAAATGTATTGTAATTGTACTGTTTCCCTTATATTGTAAAGCGCTGCGCAAACTGTTGGTGCTATCAGGGGTGGACTGACAACTCATGGGGCCCCCGGGCAATAGGGGATCATGGGGCCCCTGTGTCCTTGCCCAAACTCAAAAAAGCCTATGAAAAAGGTACCAGGGGTATCTCATGGGGCCTCCTACTGACCCCGGGCCCTCGGCAGTGCCCGAGTTTCCAAATAGTCAGTCCGCCCCTGGGCGCTATATAAATCCTGTATAATTATAATAATAATCCCTGCCATATATCCTTCTAGGTCCAATTTGGTACGAATTCCTTTAAGCTAATTCTGTTGTAGAATTATAAAAGAAAATTCACCAAACACCACAGGTTCTAGGTGTACAATGGGGGGAACTAAACTCAAGATCTTAGTACTTCAAGGTCACAGTAATGACCACTAAGCCATGTGGTATATGGTATATCGCAATCCATACCCCTCAATAATTAGGCAAGTGTTGACATTCTACAATCTGTGACTTTGGCAATTCTGTAGAAAGAAAGTAGAAGGTCTATGGAAGCCTTCTTGTTCTTTTAATCGTGCTGCAGCCTGGGTGTCATGCTTCGTAAGGGGTATGGAGCAACCTGCACCCATGGCAATTCTTAAAGGGGCTATGATGACATCTGGTGGGTCCTACATTTAGAATGGTGTGGTAATAAAGCTTCAGGAAGTATAAATATGTATGGATCAATACAGTCAACTAATGGCGTGGTCATTGTTACTCAACCATACTGTGACTACAGATTGTAAGCTGTAGACATCAAAGGGCAATTGGACATGGGGACATGTTTCAACAGCCAAAAGATCTTTCTTTTGAAGTATCTCTTGATAACCTTGTACAGCATGCATGTTTATGGATGTAGCGAACGGAGAGGGGATAGCAGAATGATTTCCCCAGCGATAACCTATATTGGGGAATAAAAACTAACAGAAAGACCACAAAAAGTTGGGCATAGCCAGTTGTTATTTCCCCGAGCTCAGTTAGCCAGGGATGTCCACTGAGATCTGCTGGAGTCTCCAGCATTAAAAATAATCAACAAACTCAGCCGAAATTGACCAAATTGGGCTGTCATCTCATGGCCAAGTCATGCAATGTATACACTTATACTGCATGAACATGAACAACTTATTACAAGCCACAATAGAATTTTCGCCATCCAGGTGCATTATTGTTTAATAAACCTAATTCACTCTGGATATATTACTAAATACTATATTAATGAATGTACAATGGTCATAAAATTCCTAATAAGGATAATATCCTGGCTATGCACATAAACAACTATATATTAACCAATAAAATAAACCAAATTCACTTTTTCAGATAAAAGATGAGTAAATGTGGTCCTATAGCATTAATGCATATATTTACTTTTCATGTGTATGTCCCGGGGTAAAATTTTTATAAGGGGTTTTGATGTGTATGTAAACATTGCAATTTAACAACAGCACCCAATATAATCAGGACATGCTCATATTACAGTCCGTACATGGCAAGCAGGCCCCAGTGAAAGCATTATTACTACTAGAAATGTTGCTGATTCACACATGTGTGGTGCAGATTGAAGCTCAGATTTCACAAATTGATACAGTAGTTGATCAGTGGTTCATGCCAGGTTTACATCAGGTTCAGGACAGGATTAGCTCAGGATTTTATCCTGTTCACACATATGCAATTTAGAAACGGTTCCCACAGAAGTCAATGGACTGTAATCCGCACCTGAACCCAAAGGCACTGCTCGGAAATTGTACATGTCTCTTTTTCAAACCACACTGAATTCGCACTGAATTTGCACCGCCAGTACACTGGACATATGTGAACAGGCACCATAGGAAGCAATCTTTTATCACGTCATGAGGATTGGTTGCGGATCCAATCCGCATATATGTGAACCGGCACTAGAGCACGGGTTCACACTGATGCGGTGAGGCACATCGCATGTTATTCGCACAGGAACCACACTGCATTCCTGTACAAATCACATGTGATTTCTATGCAGTGCAATTTAAGCCATGCAATTTAAGCCTTTTTTTAGTCCACACCAGAATCGGATCGCATTGGAGTTCACACCCATGTGATCTGATTCTGCACATCGCACCGCGTTTTG